CATTCCTCTCTCCCTACATTCTTCCCCACGGACACTGTATTTCTCCAGAGTATGAACCTGCCGTCTGGTTAAGTAGGTGCCTATTCTGCCTTGGTGGATATACACTAAAGTGGGCAGCTGGCCACCTCCTGGCCCTCTGTGACAGGCGGACTGCAGAGGTCCCGGTTGCACTTGCGACCTTAGTGAAACCCGTAGTTATACAACTGCCAACACTTAGTACAAAATCACAGTTCAGTACCAGCAGAGTACATGGTTTTCACATAACCCTTGATGTGCAAATAAAGCAGATATCCCCTGCGTCTATACTGCTAAGGCCAATCACAAAGTGCTCGTGCGCAGTCTTTTATATCCTCCACTTGTGGTTGCTAAGATGCAGACGGCATCTGTTGGGGTGGACATTAATAGTGACAGGCTGTTTAACCTAGGTCCATGCATCGTAACCATCCCGATTTATGTAGGACTGTCCTGATTTCAAGGTCTCGTCCTGTCATCCCCACTTTGTGCCCTTGTGTCCTGCGTCTGTGGACACCAGGGAACTGTCTCAAAAAAGTGTAGTGTTAGAGCATCATCAGCACTCTAGGACCCATCAGAGAACACTGAAACAGTGCTCTCTGCATGTTCTGTCCTTAACCCCTTAAGGACACATGACATGTCATGATTCCCTTTTAGTCCAGAAGTTTGTTCCTTAAGGGGTTAAAGGACCAGCCTGCTTGAATGCCAGATAGCCTGGCATGCATTCACTCCAGAGTTATCTGCCAGTAAATTGGCAGACCCGCACCCTTTCCGTACAGGTTTGTTCCCCTTTGGGCAGAACCAGTGATGTAATTGTGACACTGGCAACCCGTTTTAACTCTGCTTACATTGGAGACTTGTTTTTGGGATGCCTATTTTGGGGGGTACATGGGCCGGGAAGTTGGAGGCCTGTATTTTTGGGTGGCAAATATCTACTAAGGCTGATATTTAATGACACATTGGAAGAAACCCTTAGTTTGCTGTTGATCCTTTTAAGTGTCCTATAGGCAGTTTGACAGTGGTGTAATATGATGCTAAATGTACCTTTCATGTGGTCCCACTCTGGGGGGCAAGTGAGAGTATGCTGCCACTAACTCAAGATGTGCATATTGAGTGGTCTGGCACTGGGAACATGGGTCTATGCCAATTACTCCAATAAATGATAGTATATGTTTATTTCATAGTATTGTCCTCTATAGTACTGAATTATGTCATAGTTTACTGACCACCCTTTTTCTACTGTTAAAGTAAACACAGATAATGTTTGTAGAGCCCACCGTTTCCAGCAATGGATCATTTTTGACCAGTTCTGGCAGAGTTAGACAGTGGCATGCCTAAAAAAAAAAACCACGAGACTGATGTTTGCTAATGTTCTTGGAATGGTCCATTGAAATTAGTGTTTTGAAAGCGTCTGTTTTGTCAATTAAGGTATGCTTTTATTAAACTGCTCGCATTGTTTAGTTCCATGTGAAAATGATACTTCAAAAATGTTCGTCAGGTCAACTGCATTTTGCAATGTTCAAGCTGTTTCCCAGACGCAACAAGAACATTGTGTCTTTCCAGACTGGGTGGGGATTTGTGATCTTCCAGTACAGTAATCCAGACTACGAAAACTGCTTTAACCCAGATCTTATCATTTTTCTACAAATTAATTTTACCAGCTACTTAGTGGTTTAATGCCAAATGCTTTTTCGCATGCTCATTATTTAAAGTGCAATTAAAAGAAAAGACTGTCCACAAATGCATATTTTTAAATGTATAAAATTAAAAAAGATTGTATAAATAATATGCATTTACCCCCTTATAGTATAGTCCAATTATGCTAGTTACAAAAAAAGTAAGAAATGTGATCAAGCCGCACTACTCCTGGGTGGCAGCAATGGCTACAGTACACATCAGCCAAACTACATAAAATAAAACAAAAAAATTGACCTGCATACAGAGACCTAATTAGAAATTACTTGGCCTCGATGCGAAAATTGCCCTGGGCACCCCTCCCCCCCCAAGCGTCTAATCCACTCCCAGCCCCTCCACATGTTTCATACCCCATCTTTGCCCCCACATGCGTCTCATCCCCCCCAGTTCCTCCATGCATCTAATTTCCCCCATGTGTATCATTGCCTCAGTCCCAGCTCCTCCATGTGTGTCATTCCCTCCGTCCCAGCCCCCCCAGGTTTGTCATTCCCTCCCCGCTACTATAAAGTAAGTAGTGTCTGTTTCTGTGTGTGTGCACAAGATGCATTGTGTGTTTCTGTGTGTGTGTGTGTTTGTGTGTGTGAAGGACGCGTTGTGTGTTTCTGTGTGTGTAAGGGATGCATTGTATGTGTGTGTGTGTGTGTGTGTAAGGGATGCATATTGTGTGTGTGTGCATGTGTAGGAATGCATTGTGTGTGTGTGGGGCTAAAAAGGAGCATCCTTTTTTTAAAATATATTTATTTTCTAATGTAATTTAAAAAAAATATATATTTAATATGTCCTACCAGCATCCAGGGAGGGGGCAGCATATTCCCTGGTGGTCCTGTGGTGCTGCAGAGGTTCTGCCCGGCGAGTCCCACGTGGAATTGAGCGTTGTTGTGGTTACCGTGGCAACGCTCAGAAAGCCAGAACTCCGCACGGTTCGGTAGGCAGAGAGCCTCCTCCTCTTCTTGCTGCGCAAACTCAAAAGATCTCTCTGACGGGGATTGTGTACTTGTAAGGGGCCTGGGCTTATAAGTTAAGTGGCTGGACGACTGGCCCGGAGTGACAGGCCGGTCACACCTGCGACTGTGGTAGGTACGCCACTAAATGCATACTATCCCAAACCCCTATGTACATCGAAATAGCAGGAGGTTTCCAATACAACCCCAATGGCTGTTTAAGTGCAAGCTCATCTTTCCCGTCAAGTGCCCTACTGCCACTTAAAGGGACACTATAGTCACATTAACAACTTTAGCTTAATAAGCAGTTTGATGTATAGATCATACCTCTGCAGTTTCACTGATCAGTTCTCATTTAGGAGTTAAATCACTTTGTGTATGCAGACCTTGTCACGCCTCCCTGCTTGTGATTTACACAGCTTTCCTAAACACTTTCTGTAATGTGAGACCTAATGTTTACACTTCCTTTATTGTTAATTCTGTTTTATTTAGAATTTCTTATCTCCTGCACTGCTAAGAGCATTCTTAACCCTTCAGGTGCCTCCTTTATGATTACATTTACAGAGCAGGAGTTAAAAACTTCTAAAGCAGGTTAACATCTAGTGAAAATAAAACCATTTCTCTTTTCATGTAGGCCACATGCCAGTCACAGCCAGTGAACAAAGGTGACTTAAATTCAGCAGTGAAACAGAAGGGGCATGATCTGTACACTAAAAGTGACTGATTAAGCCAAAGTGGTTTAGGTGACTGTAGTGTCCCTTTAATGAGTAAGGATCAAATGCAGCCTGTGGACAAAATAGTCAATGAAGGATGTCAAGCATTGACCTGATGAGGGACCCTTGGTTTGTGTTAAATGCTTAAAAATGTTTGAAACAAAACACCATAACCACTACAGCCAGCTTTACTATTGTTTAGCATGCCCCTTTAAATCTTTGTTAAATGAGCATGATAGGTACGATTAGAGGTCCACCAATGTAGGCCCTGTAAAGTGAAAACAAGCAAAATGCAATTTAATCCATCAAAGACAGTCTGTTGTGTGAAAATCCATTAACCCATAGTTAAATGCACCGTAAAAATCCCAAATTCCTTAGCGAGAGTGCTGTGATTTTCTTATAAATGGGCTTTCAGTAAAACATTTTGTGATCTGCACTTTAAATAACCCGATGTTGTTTGTCAAGGTGTGCTTCTCATCTGTTCTAGGATCTTTGCCATAACCCTATCGCTCTAATTTGAAGACCCTTAAAATATGCAAAAAATGTTACATAACTCTTGGAATACTTGTTTAGACAGATTATATACATGTTTGGCAGGAAAACCATATCACAGTTCAATGATGGCACAGGAGCAATGTCAGAACCTGTTGAGAATTCATTATCAAAAAAAAAAGGTTGTCATGTGCAATTGTTGATACAAAGAAGTAAAATAATACTAAATAGGTATTTTATTAGTTACATAATAACCTTTCAGGAAAATACTGTTGTGTTGAATTTTAGCAATCTCCCAGTAAGTATAAATCTACATCCACTGTGTTTTAAAGGACCACTATAGGCACCCAGACCACTTCAGCTCAATAACGTGGTCTGGGTGCCAGGTCCCCCTAGTTTTAACCCAGCAGCTGAAAACAGCAATTTCAGAGAAACTGCCATGTTTACACTGCAGGGTTAATCCAGCCTTTAGTGACAGTCTTCCTGACAGCCACTAGAGGTGCTTCCGTGATTTACACTGAGTAAATAGCACTTATTTGACGGATACGGAGTCCAGTGTCAAAAAAGATCCCCATAGGAAAGCATTGAGTAATGCTTTCCTATGGGCGGGTTTGAATGCACGTGCGCCTCTGGCCGCACATACATATTCAGCTCCACTCGGAAGCTGACATAGATGGAGGAGGGGAGGTCACCAGTGCCGAGGGAGCCTGGCGCTGGATTAAGGTAAGCAAATAAATGGTTAATTAACCATTTATTCGCCACGGAACAGGGCCTTAGTCACCTAAATAGTGACTAGGGCTCTATAGCGTTAGGAATACATATTTGTATGCCTAATGCTATAGTGTTCCTTTAAGAATTTCAAATTAAAAGTGCTCATTTATAGAAAAAACTCATCCCGCAGATTCCGCCTGGAAAATTAGTGCAAAGTCACATCATTGAATATTTTTTATTACAATTTTGTAAACAACATAACTATAAAAATGGGGAAAAAAATATCAATAGGCAAATATACTAACCTGTAGAAAAGAAGGTTTGGAAAAATAATTTTTTCTTTATCATTAATGACCATTATGTGCCATTTTCTTTTCTTGCTCCTAAATTTTCTAAAATCAAGTTATAATAAAAAAAAACAAAAGTGCCGGTGCGCAAACTTCACAAGAATCACCCTTAGTGTATGTAACACAACCTCTTAAAGTGATAGTCATACGTTACCACTTCGATGTACACCCAGACTACACAGAAGTGGTAAAGTGTGAATATCTCTTTAAGAGGTTGTGTTACATACACTAAGGGTAATTCTTGTGAAGTTTGCGCATTGGCACTTTTGTTTTTTATTGTATTTTAACCTCATTACCAGGGTTTCACGTTGGTTGCTGCAATTGCACTGCGAACTACATGATTTATTAAGTTTAATGCACCATCTTATTAATATATATTTAATCTGGAAGAAAGGAGATTTCATCTAAGGCAAAAAAAAAAAGGTGTTTTTTTTTTTACAATAAGAACAGAAAGGATGTGGAATTCTCTGCCTGAAGAGGTGGTTTTATCAGAGTCCATACAGATGTTTAAACTGAAATTAGATAAATACTTGCAAAAACATAACATACAGGGATATAATTTCTAATTAGTGGGGCAATAGCTGCTTGATCCAAGGAGACATCTGACTGCTATTTTGGGGTCAAGAAGGATTTTTTTTCTAGTTTGTTGCAAAATTGGAAGCGCTTTAGACTGGGTTTTTTGCCTTCTTTTGGATCAGCAGTAAAAACAAATGTGAGGAAGGTTGAACTTGATGGACGCAAGTCTCTTTTCAGCTATGTAACTATATACATATTGTAAAATCAGGATATGCCTCCCAATATTTCCAATTATGGTGGAACATTCCTGATTTCAGGTTCTTGTCCCGCCATTCTAACATTGTCCCATTTTTGGCATTAAAAGCACTCGAAATATGCTCGCACACTACTACCCTGAAACAGTGCTCCCTATATGGTCCACTGTTAGTGGGCCAGCCTCCTTATGTATTTAATAATCCCTCAAAGAGGCAGAAAGCATTTTTTATGCCGTGTTAACATTTTCTTTTGATGGATTTCTAATGAAATAAAGGTCCTTTTATTTTATTTTTTTTAAAAACAACAACTCTAAACTATATGTGAAAATATATGAACATGGTGTAGAGAGAAACTGCCATTAATATATGTCCATTTCTCTAGGACTACAGGTCTGTTTTATGTACTTACATTTTTCAGAGATGGTTTTGCTTCCCTAAAGATTATTTGGTTTTATAATGGCCCCAATGCATAGCGCAACAATGTACTAACATCTTTTTTGTAAATGTAGATGTGCAGAGAGCTTCATGCCCAGACGTTAGGCCAACTACACTGTAATCTCCTATATGGACTTCACTTGGTGCCATCTGTTGGTTGGAGAATACTTTGTTGTCGTTACGTACTTTTGTATATGTTGAAGCTAAATAATTTGCATACAAGTTCTTATCACAGTTAGTAGGCAGAATGCGCCAGTTTTTTTGTCAATATTCTCTCAGGTTGCTCTCCCTGTGTCAGGGCTATGATCTTTGTGCTCTGTTGTTGTCTAACTGTCATGCCATTCTGTTATGGTTTGTGTTGTTTTCCATCTTTCACTTGATTTGCTTTCCATTTTTCATTTGCTTAATGTAGACTTGTGAAAGGCTAGCCGCAGTTTAGTCTGAAGAACTGAAGAAGCTCCTTTTGGTATAGTGGCCTAAAACTTTAACCTTAAAGCACCACTATAGTGCCAGGAAAACAGTCATTTTCCTGGCACTATATAGTCCTTAGGTCCCCCCCACCCTCAGGGCCCCCCCCCTTCAGCCACTTACCTTAATCCAGCACTGGGCTCCCTCGGTGCTGGTGACCCCCCCAGGTCAGCTCCTGAGTGGAGCCAAATGCACATGCGCGGCCAGAGCCGAGTGCGCATTCAAACCACCCATAGGAAAGCATTACTCAATGCTTTCCTATGGATGTTCTGCGTGCTCAATAACATTTTTGCATTGAGCGTTGCAGAAGCCTAAGTACTACAATCTATTCTTTCACTGTTGAAAACATTGTAAAATCTCGTGCAAAATATGTGGACAACAGGTGCTAGGTGTGAATCCCAGTGTACAGCACTACGGAATTTGCTGGTGCCATATAAATAATAAAATAATAATTGCTTAAGATAAAAAAGAATTGGATTGGTGGATCACAGTGATAGCTGGAAATGTGTTGTATGTCTGCAGTATGTCTACAGGCAAAGCATTTGATTGGATAAAAGTCATCAAGCCTTTAAAAAAAATGTAAGTGCTTAAGACACACACACACACTCTCATGAACAGATGCATACACACTAGCTAACAGACACACACATTTACTGACAGACACACTCAGTGACAGACATACACACTCACTGACAGACACACACTCACTCACTTACAAAACACACACTCACTAACAGACGCACACAAACACACTCAGTAACAGACACACACTAACACACTCACTGACACTCTAACACTAACACACACACACACACTAACATACTCTAACACTAACACACACACATTAACACACTCTAACACTAACACACACTCACACACTCTAATACACACACTAACACTCTTACACACTAACACACACTCACACTCACACGTTTTTTTAAAAAAAATTGAATCCCCTCAGCCTCCCTACCTTTTGGAGAGCTGAGGGGATTCCCTGGGGTCCAGTGGTGTCACCCGGCAGGCAGGCTGGGGGGCTCGCGAGGGAGCACTCTCCCCTAAGTGCTTCCTCTTCAGCTCCCTCGCGCGCCACGTACTGATACCGGGAGAAGAGGCTGGCCCAGTCGGTACATACCTGGGTCACAGGGCGGTCGGGCCCCCTGGTGGGCCGGGCCCAGTCGCAGCCGCGACCCCTGTGACCCCGGTATGTACGCCACTGCTCGGCGGAACAGATCAGGATCATAGTTACATAGCTGAAAAGAGACTTGCGTCCATCAAGTTCAGCCTTCCTCGCATCTGTTTTTTGTTGTTGATCCAAAAAAAGGCAAAAAAGACTGTTTGAACCTGGGGTCCAGTCACCCCTGATCTTATTACACTGGTGCAGGGTGTTAAATAAATTAGTTTTTTTTTTTTTTGCACATTATGGGTTACATCCAACATAATATACTATTGTGCCCCAACAGCCACAGCGGGGTTGACCAACATAAAGCATTTGTGTAGATAAAACAAATATAACGATAATTGTTTTGCACTTAAAAAAAAACAAAAAAAAAACAGTTTGAACATGTGTGTTGTAGTGTGTTTGGGATGGGTACTGGGATTAGATGTGAGGGTGAGGTTTGTAGTAGTGAGTTGCGTGGTACTTTATTTGGAGTGATGTGAAGTATGGGTCAGGTCGGCTGTTCTTTGTGGAGCTATCGTCGTATAGCGTGTAGAGTGATTGTTGCTGGTGAGTGAGTGAACTGGCCCTCCATAGGTGTTACCCCTTACCAAGGGGGGAGTAGGGGGGGGAGAGCTGGCCGGTGTGTAGCCGGGCACCTGTCTCGCAGTACCCTGTTTCCTTGTATTGGGGGTCGAGGGGTAGTGGGTCCTCCTCAGAGGCCTCTCATGTGTGTTATTCTTTATCATAGTAATAACTGTGGGCAACATAAAACAAGTTCTGGTATAACATTTAGCAAGCAGATTTACAGTTTCCTGGGTGTGTTCAGGTCCCTGTATGCGTTGCCGATCTGGCGGCTGGTACGAACGGGACCACTCGGGAGGGGTTCCAGCTGCGGGTGTTTGCCCGTCCATCACCTTTTGTCGCTTGGGATGGTAGGCCCAGTGCCATGAGGAGGGTCGGGGCGTCTGCTGGCGACGAGATTTTGTGTTTCACCACCAGTATTCTGGACGACATCCAGCGGTATATGATGCCAGCTGTTCTCAATTGGCTTGTAAGAGGTTGAAGGGACCTCCGCCACTGCAGGGTGGACCTTGTGAGGTCCTGATAGAAGGTAAGGCTTGCGCATTCGAAGATGAGTGGGGTCTTGTCCTGCAGTGCAGACCAGATAGATATTTTGTCGTGGGAGTGTGAGAATCGGACTGTGGCATCCTGTACAGCCATTGCTGGGGCTCTGCTGGACTTAGGTAGGCGGTATGTCCCATCCAAGGTGACTTTTTTGGCTTGTGCAGCCGGTAGGATGGTGGCCACCAGTCGTCTCACATAGTGGGGAAGTTCTTCTGGGGTCACTGTGTCTGTTATGCCCCTTATTTTGAGATGATTCCTCCTGGACCTGTCATCCAGTGTGGCTTGGTGCAGAGAGAGTGCTTGTTGCATGGTTTGTAGGAGTTGGATAGTTTCTTGTACCAAGTTCATACCTTGTTTGATCCCCCTCTGCTGTTCGCACTCTGTCGTTGACCTTCTGTATGTCTGCCTGTATTGCTGCCACGTTAGCCGCTAGTAATTGTTTGATTTCTCCCACCAGGTTTTGGAAGTCCCGCTGGGTGACAGGAGCAGAGCCGTCCCCTGCAGCTGGTGTGGTGAGCCCAGTGTGTGGCCGGACAGGCTGTGAGTGTGTCTTTGTTGGTGGGGGTCCCTACGGGATCCCTGCGGCCCCGTTGTTCCCCGGCAGCACCATTTTAGATGGGTCTGTGTCCCTGATTTGGTCTGTGGGGGTGATTTTGGGGACTTACGTCCCATCTCGGTGGGTGTTGCAGCTTGTGGTCCGGCCTCTCTCCAGACACACCCGGCTGAGTGTAGGCGCCAAACAGTGCCTCCAGGCCCCAGTTTTTCATTTTTTCCTGGGAGTTTTGGCCGCCTGGAAGAACGGCATATGGCGTGTCGCGGTTGCGTCCTCTGTGCTTTTGGGTGAGTTACTTTTGAGTGTGGGTGTTTTGGCTAATTTTTTGAGGGTTTTTAGATTAAAAGTTGCGGAGCTGGTGTAAATGGCGACCGCTCCGGTTCAGGCACAGGCTCCGCCCCCCCATAAACTAGTTTTTTAACCTAATGGGCTTTAACAAAGGCATCAATGTATAAACTCAGTGTCACAATCTTTTCAGTGGATATAGGTTGTTCCTGTTGATGTTATCATTCGCACCCCATTTCTTACATTTAGTAAATAGGAAATTGCTCAGAGAATTATGTGTTCCAGCTTTCTGCCAACTCTTAACCGTGGAATTTTTTGATTAACGCTTTTTTTAAGACACACCTGTTTATTCAATACCCTCCATTGTGAAAGGGTGTATGAGATCAGCTGGCACCGAGCCTTGTGTTTATAACTTTACAGTGTTTTGTCATGTAACACAGTTCTAAGTAAAGAAGATTTG